ATGATCAGGCATTAAAGGGATGAAAGTAATTGATGCTGGAAAACACAAAAACTACTTTTCAAAGCAGAGAAACCTAAGAGTTTATGTACAGCAGTGGTTCCCACTTTTTGACCAAGGACCACTTGAACAGGGACCACCGGACCTGGGGCCACTTTGACCAGGGACCACTCTCCAACATTATTACCAAAAGGGTTATGAATAAGTTTTTGGTCAAGTTTAGATTCGGTTTGATTATTTGAGGTGCTGATTCAGAAAACTGCATTGGATAGACCACATCGGCTCTAGTTTCTGATACAGAACACATACCATCCAGTAGTCACCATCTGCTCACCTACAGAAAACCATATTTAATAACCTAGAGCTGATGTGGTAGTAGTAATATTTCGTAGGTAGTCAGCTTCTCCTCTCCCGACATCCCTGTTGCCTCTGCACTCGTAAGAGGGTTTTGTGAGACCAGTCACTCTCATTGGTGCATGGTTTTGAGGCAACAGTGTTGTAATGATGAGGCTGTGGACCATATTTTTGTTCTTGTGGACCACTGGTGATCAATGGACTACAGGTTGGGAACCACTGATGTACAGGATATAGCCTATTAGGAAAGGCATGACTCTGCCCCTTTCTCCCTTCCCCTCTGCACTCTTTTTTTGCAGCACTTGAAATGATCTGAGGACAAAGGAGAAAGGTGAGAAAAGAAGAGAACTGTACATTTGTAAAGCAGCTGAAAAGTGGAATGACAATGGGTTAACTCAGATCAACCTTGTCAAAGTTGCATAGTTGGAAGATACAGGGCATCTTATAGTTAACAAAAACAAGAGCAGTAAAATAACTAGTGCCATATCAAGGCAAAATTGAGGCAGGAAGGATAAGTTTGGATTCAGACAGCTGAATATCCCCCACCATATAAATGCATTATCCCAAATTTGTCCCTTTCGCCCACCAAAAAGAGTCAACTTTGTGTCAGAACATAGGCTGACAGTTGTTTTATTTATTTATTTATTTATTTACTTTATTTGTATACCGCTTTTCTCAGCCCTTAGGCGACTTTTAAAGCTCAAAAAGTCATATTTGCCTTTATAACATTATTATGATTACTTTTAATGGAAACTTGTAGATTCTTTTCTCCCAAATCCCATTTTGGGAGAAAAGCTTGATGTGAGTGCAATAAACAAACAAACAAACAAACAAACAAATAAGATTAAGAGAATTGTTATGGCTTATTGCAGGCAGCAGACACTGTTAACATGTGGAACCCATGTTGAAAGGCTGCTTAGGTCCTAAAATCCCACTCTACGTTGCTTGCCTGATAAATATGGTATACATGACTCTCAAAAGAGTTGTCATCCAAACTTTTGCATGGTGTATTATTATTTTAATACAGACATAAAGAAACCTATCATAGTAGTTTGCAGGAGTTGTTTGCAAAATATGTCATATTTGCCAGTTCCAGGTATGAAGTTTTTGTGTGAAAAAAGTTTTTTAAAAAACCACAGATCAATAATTGATTGATATGTTTAAAGTGCACATAATCAAGTGTGGACACAATCATACCTTGTGTTGGAAATACTCATTTTAAGTTGAATGGCCAGTGCCAAGGGAGTTGGTTCCTGTCTGCCTCATAGTTTGCTTTACCCAAATCTGTATTCCTTAGAAATTGAAGGGAATATTTAGACATGATTTAAGTTTCTTACGTCAGACTTGTCCACATGAAACAAGTAAGGAATTTGTCCTCCTCTATCAAATGAAGGAGCCTTATGATTCAAAGCTTGTGCAATATTTTCAACTTTCAATAAAATTATAAATGTTCCAAAGATATATTACCAGTGTTTGCCTAGATAAACTTTCTCCCATAAACTACTAGAATGAAATGAACCATTATTTAAGCTTAAATATGAGACTTTGCAATATTTTTGTGTTTATTACCACACACTATTTCTGTTGCTATGTCTCTCCCAAGATTTTGTTAACTAGAGCATTTATGAAACTGTGAAAATGGGGCATGTTTTATCACCATTCTTAAAATAATCCTTTTCTTTGGGGGGGGGGGTACAAATTAAAACACCATTTGCAGGATTTTAATTTTTTCTGATAGGAAAATCTACTACATGTGACTTTTTTATTTATAAAAGATAAAACCATATATTTATCAAATTTCCAGGTGCTGGGCCATTTCCATAATATTAATTTTAATAGATTAGTTTAAATGGATCAAATTTACAGTACATAATTATACATAAAATTTATAATTAATATAATAATAAGTAATAAAATCCTTTCCAGTTGTGCTGGCAGAAAAGCTGTGGATATAAATCCTTGTTCAGATGCAGTACAGAATGATATTAAATGCTCAGCTGTAAAGCATATTTACACAGTTGTAATAAATAAATTTTACTATAATATTATTATTACCTGCCTCTCCTAATGGCGTCAGGCATGCTACAACAAAGTCAAAAGTACATAAAATATATACAAGAAATTCTATAGATAAAAACACAACAATATAAACACTTGCTGCAAACACAGATCCAGAATCAACATATAGTAGCAACAGAATGTTAATCAAAACTCATTATTGAAAGTTGACTGAGTAGGTCTGCCAGAAGAGATGGGTCTTCAGTCTCATTTTAAATTTCAAAAGTTCAAAAGTTCAAAACCTCTTCCAGCAGGTTATTCCACAGTCTTCTTGGGGCAGCCAATGAAAAGGTTCTCTGCGTGATCTAAAGAGCAGATTGTACAGGAGAAGGCAATCATGTAGGTAACCTGGACCCAAACCATATAGGGCTTTAAGATAGAAACCAACACTTTGTATTTTTCCTGTAAACTAACTGGCAACCAGTAGAATGACTTTTATATGTGTGTAATATGCTCACTCCTGGATGTTCCTATAACCAAGCTGGCTGCCATATTTTGAACTAATTTGAGTTTCTGAACTTGGTACAAAGGTAAACCAGTGTACAGTGCATTGCATTGAAGAAGTCCAGCCTTGAGATTATCAGTGTGTGCACTACCATATTTAAGTCCTTCAATCTAGGAGGGGGAATACCAAAGCTGGTAGCAAGCACTCCTGACAGTCACATCTACCTGGGGTGACATTTGGAGAAATTAATCCAAGAGCACTCTCAAGCTGTGAACATAGTCTTTCAGGGGGAGTGTAACCCTGTCCATTTTTATTTATCGTGTCAGGCAACCAAACAATGTCCATGACTTGTATACATACCTCCATAATAATAATATAATAATTTTATTCTTATACCCTGCCATCATCTCCTTGAAGGGACTCGGGGTGGCTTACAAGGGAGCAAGCCTTCATTACAGATAAAACAGCATTAAAAACAATCAAATAAAAACATAAACACAATCAGAACAACATCTTAAAACAATAGGCTGGGATAACTGTCAAACTGGGATCAGGCTCAAATTAGTGCAGTGCTTCTGGATTGGGGCCAATGGAGAGTGCGGATTAAAGGAACTGAGGTTAGAGATGCCTTAACATGTCAAGTAATAAGTCAGTGGGCAAAATAAAGTGCATAGTCAGGGTAGGAAGGGAATAGTTCTCTGGTGAAACTGCTCAATCAAAGGCATGACAGAACATCCACCTCATTCTCTATGAAAGATGGATAAGGTCAGGGTCTGTCTGATCTCCCCAGGGAGGGAGTTCCAGAGCCATGGGGGCCACCACTGAGAAGGCCCTCTCCCACAGAACTCCCATGACGAACAGAAAATATATATCAGTGATTGGTGGGGGGGGGGGGCAAAATACTGTTTGCTTACCGTTGAAAATTACCTAGAGCCGCCTCTGGAGGAGAGCCTTCCCTGATGATCTCAAGGAGCTAGGAGTAGGAATGAGATGGAACGTAATAGGATCCAGAAGGGGACAAATCATGATATTTGCCCTCAACATTCAAAGGGTTGCTTAAGGTGATACAATACTTAACATTGATATATGAAAACAATCAATCTGGATACCTATTATTAGAGAATTAAAAGTTCAGGTCAATTTCAAGCCTTGGATAGAGGAAGACGATCATTCATCAATGGGTATCTCAGTCTGGGTCCTGATTTTGTCAGAGGCTTCAAGTAAGCACCAGTAGTGGCAAGGTAAACATATGTTCAAGGGACCAGAGGTAGAAGATAACAACTATTGTCAGCTGGAGATCAGATAAACAAGAATAAAGGCTAAAGGCAGAAACATTGGAATATGGGCTGATGGGGAAGTGTTGGGTTTGGCAGATGAATAGAAAGTACAAGAAGATGTGAGTTATTGTGTTTAATAAAGCAGCTTGGAACAGTCATTACATATATAGTCATTTTCCTGTTTGTCCTACAGTCCAGTTCTAACTACTGAATGAATCTATGGCAACATTAGAAGAGACAGATATGGCTATTGGCTAAGACTGAGAACTGTCCTGTGTTGAACATAGAATAAAGATACCAGTGCAAATGTTAGTATGAACCAGAGAAAATGTACTGAATCAGTGGAATTTATGTAAGTGTTGATGCACTAAGATCCCGTTGAGTCAGATGAAAGTGCATACTCATACATAAATACCTATACTGTATAGAAGGGATTGGAATCATGTCACCCTTTAAATGTTGTGGGACTGACAATCCCAGTATTCTTAACCTTTGACTAGACTGACTAGAGCTGCTGAGATTTGAAGTTCATGGTGTTTGTAGGCCAATCGATCCTTATCTTATGAAGTACGATGAATCCAGGATATTTTGGAATCCAGTGAGGCAATTATATGCAGTACTGTGCTGGTTTAGATGTTTTTTTGTTTTGTTTTTGTGGTTTTTTGTCCTCTTTCTTTATTTTGAATATGAGAGATTTTCATGCTCCAGGGCTGTTGATGCATGCCTTCTACGTTAAGACAACATCAGTATTGTAAAGATGCTGCCATCTTTTCCTTAATGCACTATCGCTAATGCCTTCTTGTTAACCCATGATTGCTCAGCTTCTGCAGTGGTATGTCTAGTCTTAAAAGCAACCCTTCTTTTTCCAGAAGAACCGACACCTTCACATAAAATCATCAGCCCACCCTCTGGAGTAACTTACCCTCATGATGATGTCTCGGATTATGGCCTGAAGCCATACCCCTTCGTTTTGCCTAGTCTTTCAGCAGATCACATGGGCCGGTATGGACAGCCAGATAGCTTAGGGTCAAAATGCTACTTGGACCCTGTCAAGGCTGCCGGCCCCCCTACTCTGAGCCCTAGGATTGAGATAACACCATCTTATGAACTGATTCACTCGGGGGGTCCCTTCGGCAGCAGAGATACAGACCTATTGGTAGAGCATCAATCCAGCTCAGCTGCCACTAGCCCAAGGTTTACCCTGCCTGTCCCTGGCTTTGAAAGCTATCGAGAACCGCTCTGCCTGAGCCCTCCTAGCAGTGGCTCCTCTGCAAGCTTCATTTCAGAGACTAATTTCTCTCCTTACACCTCACCATGTGTTTCACCAAATAATGGCCCTAGTGATGACCTTTGTCCACAGTTTCAAAACACCCATGCTCATTATTCCCCCAGAACCTCTCCAATAATGTCCCCACAAACAACCATCGTGGAGGATACCTGCTTGGGGCCGCGTTCACCATCACCACATCCCAACTCAAGGTCGTCATCACCGGGCACAAAGAGGAGGTACTCTTGCACTGAGTTCTACGGAAGCCAGCAACCCTCTGCTTCTCCACGGCAGTCGAGGACCCCCTCTCCACAGGCCTCTCCTCAGATTTCCTTGAGAGAAGACGGATCTTCAGTCACATACACCCAGTTGTCCACCTCTTCTACTCTCATGGATGCAATGAACAACCTCAGCACAGATCCTTCCTGTGGAGTTCCCACAAAAATATGGAGAACCAGCCCGGATCCTTCTCCAATGCATTCCCACAAAGCCAGCATGTCGTGTCATGTGCTTCAGCCTATTGAATACATTGGGACTTGTGATCAGGATGACCGAAGAAACCCACCACCAGAATCCATCTTATTAGTGCCACCATCTTGGCCAAAGCAACTGATGCCTGCAATACCTATCTGCAGGTAAGTGGAATGTCTGTGATCTAATGATACAGAAATTGTCTTTGGTTCCAAAAAATCCCATTATGCATGTGTGTGGGATTGTGTAGTTTTAATATTGTTTCTAAACAGCAATTAGAATGCCAGAGGAAATCTTACAAAGTTTTCTGTTTGCATTATGGTGAGAGTTGTTGTTTGGGTTACCTTACAGATGCTCTTTAGCACATTAAGTAGGAACATATTCTGATATACTGGGAGCAAAAAAAATATCTCTGAACAAGGTTACAGGTTTTGTTTATTTTATTTTTTACTCATGATCCCATCTCTAGATTTGGACAAGACTCATTCCCTGTTCTACCTTGTATCCGACCTCTGGCTGCACTTTTGGGGTTAGCAATGTGAACATTGTTGTGGAACGTTACAGGTTTTATGCTGTGACTGGGAATACCTGCTTTTTTACCACAGCAGATTGAGTCAGGGAATGCTCTGCAGTAGGGGATTTCTTGTATTCTTTTGGGAGACATTTGACTCCCTGGACTGAAGTCTCCTCTCTGCTTAGTTGGCCATGGATAAGCAGTCACGATACAGAACTGACCTAATTGCTGGCCTAACTGCTTCATAGACTTATTGTGGGAATAAAAGAGGAGAGATATGTGCTATTAAGAGCTCTTGGAACAAGAAGAGGCAGGATAGCATGTAATAAATCTCAATTTTCAAATAAAAAAATATCTGCTGTTCCAAAAAGAGAGCTGTTTTAGCAATCTCTGGACAGTGATTCAGGTCCCTTTGCATACTTTACTTATAGTAGGGAAAATGGTGACACTAAATGCTATCTAAAGATTGGTTAGCTGATATATTAGCAGTCTTGTGGGCTATCCATATGTGGTCAGTCTTAAAACCCTAGAGTTGATAGGGACTTTAAAGGTCACTTAACCTGCTGATGCTAGAAATCCTTTATTGAGGCATCATTGACAATTGGTCACCCAGCCTCTGCTTCAGCCTATTGAAGCCACCATTTCCAACTACAGCCATTAACTTCAAGGAGTTTGGGCTAGAGAGCCCACTTTAGATGTGGGGAAGCACTCTGCGGCTCACAGTTGACTATGACCTTGAGAGCCTTTGTGGTAGCCTTGCTTATATTCTAGCCTTTGGGCTGTTCTCCTACAAATTACTTTTCAAGCTGACAAAGGAAATCTCTCATTTTCTGTAGTAGCTACAGTAATAATGATAATCTTACTGGGCAGGATGCAACTATAAACTATAAAAGGATTTGTCAGCACCTTGCAGTCTCTTCTCTCCTTACTTTTCAGTGGCATGTTATAGCTCATAGTATGTGTTTTATTTTGTTTCAAATAATCTGAGGAAAGTGCTTCTCCATTTGTTTCAAGGCCCACTTCCACACAGCAAAATAAAATCTCTAATTTTCTGCTTTGAACTGGAATATATGGCAGTGTGGACTCAGTTAACCCAGTTCAACGCAGATATTGTGGGATTTTTTGCCTTGATATTCTGGGTTACATGGCCATGTGGAAGGACCCAAGGAAACTGTACACCCTGCTGTTGCTGAATTTTGTTTTTATATTTTGGCAAATGGGTTTTTCACAGTGTTCAAATCATTTTTCATTTTTTCTGCCCAGCATTCCTGTGCAATCCCTTCCACCACTTGAGTGGCCACTCTCCAGCCATTCTGGCTCTTATGAACTAAGTGTTGAAGTCCAGCCAAAACCCCACCATCGTGCCCATTACGAAACAGAAGGGAGTCGAGGGGCAGTCAAAGCACCAACAGGAGGGCACCCTGTGGTCCAGGTAAGATAATTTCTTGGGAAAGATTAATTTTTGGAAGATTGTCTGAGAGTTTTACTCGTATGTAAGTTTGAGTCATAGGAAAAGAAATGGGGACTAGCATTCTAGTTCACCCTTTTTCTATTCTTCATGCCTTTTACATTTGGAGAGGGTTGTCTGGCCAAGAAAAAAAACAAAACCTCCCTCTGCCTGTGGAGGCTGTCCTTCAGATTTTGATATTCCCGTTTCCATAGCCTCTATGGATACAGGAATCTCTTTTATGCAAATATGGGAAGGACACTGAGAAAAGGTGAAGAAAGGAGTATACACAATCCACTTCCTTTCTCTTATAGATTATATAGAGCGTATATGGAAGAAGAATACCCAAATGATCAAATATAACATCAACATGTAGGGTAAATGGAAGTAGAATAACAACACCATAATGTTTGTGTCATACTTTTGGGCCTCTGAACCAGAGGCATATGACTCTTGCCATTAAAATAAATGTGTTCTAGTTGCTCGTGTCACTCAAATTCCTGATTCCTGCATAATTAACAAACTTTAATAGCCCCTTAAATAAAAAGAAATTATGTGGGGGAAAGAACAGGGGATATCTTTTCATGGCCATAGAAAACTACAAGGTGTAGAAGTTTTGAAATTGCCTGATGGAAATTAATAATCACAGCCTTAATTAATAAAACTTGACAGGCTCTTCATTCTCCTCCTGTTCTTCCTTCTTTTTCTTTATCTTCTTCTTAATGTATATCCCATCTCTCGAAAGGAAATTTGAACTGTTTTGAAATTCAGTGAAATGTTACATTAGTACAAAACAATATTTTCATGTTAATGTGGGTATAGACATTGTCTAGAGGGAGCATCTACAGTCTGACACCACTTTAATTGCTATAACTCAATGTTATGGAATCATGGGAGTCATAGTTTTACAAGGTTTTTAGCATTCCTTGCCAAAGAGAGCTGGTGCCTCACCTAACTACAACATCCTCAGTCAACTCGCATTGAGCAATGGCAGTTAAAGTGGCATCATACTGCATTAATTCTACAATGTAGATTCATCCTGAACGGAGACCTGCAATAATTCTCCTGTGTATTTTTTTTAATTTTAGAACTTTGTGTGGTATATAAGAATTTCATTAGAGGCATTTTGGCAACCTGCATATTGATTTCCTTTTGTGAGACAAGGTTTATAAATTAAGTTGTCACCCGGCTGGCTTTTTGCTTACAACGACTCCTCCTTTAGCAATATCTTTGCATTTGTCTGTATGACACCAATAGATGATCTTTTCATTGGCAAAGTTAGAGTGTGATAAGAAAAAAGCTGGAGGTCAATGAAGTACTTCATAGAGTTGGCACCTACTTCAATGAGGTATTTGATGGCCCATTGTAAAGTTTACAAAGTTGTAAAGAGATACGGACACAGGTTAATTGGGTTCATGAATCCACCAGGGAAAGGTGAATAAGTTTGAAGCAGGAATGGTTTTTTTGAAAGTTGGTGTGAATTCGTGGAAGCAGTAAGGCATCTTTTCAGGAGGGGTAGTGAAGTTCGTGACCTCAATCCCCTTTCAACCTCCAAGAAGTATAAACAATAATGGGAGTAGTCATCATTCAATTTCTAGAGCATTTGAGGTTCTCCATTCCTGCATCAGGGCCTTGAAGAATTAGGTGAATCTGTATTTTTCACTACAAATTCAGGCAAATCTTCATGGGAGAATCCCAGGTTAGCTCTCTCCTTAGGTATATTAGAATCAAAACTTTGGTGCCTCAGAATTAACCATGTATTATGTCTGGAATCCCACAAAAAGGGAGCTTGAGCATACAGGAAGAGAGCTACAGCGCAGTTTCAATTGCAATTTTTGCCACAGTAGTTTGCAGTGTTGGAAAGCATCTCAGGCAAGTAATATTCTCGTTTTGCTCTGTGGCACTTTTGTCCCAGTCCTGCCCACCTATGTTTCTTTGGATTCTGGTTGATACATGTAATTCAGGCACATTTTTTTTTATTTCTATAGCAGCCTCCTTTTCTGTGTGGAGATAGGATTTATTGACAGAATATTCATGTGTCCTGTTCCTCAACTATAGTCCAACTAGAACTGAATTAATTGTAGTAATATTTTAGTCTGGCTTTCAGGCTATCTCTCATAAGATGCTACAAAAACATAGATATCAAATCAGGATAAGGGGATTGTGCCGTAACGGAATTTGAGCATCCATGGATTTTGATATCCATGGGGGAAAAGGGGGGGGGTGGAACCAAACCCCAGGACCCCCCCAATGACCTATTGTAACATCTTTCTAGCTCCTTATTTGTAAGCTGTAATGTTCAGCACACAAGTTGTAACAAAAGCTATAACCCTGGAAAAGTCCAGTCCATTTTACCCATGAGTCATCTACCAAACTAAGAGAGGGCATCGCGCTGGACCTTGTCTGTTGTGATCATATGTTTCCCATCTATGTGTTCCATTCATTCTGCAGTATACTGATGCATGTGTGAACTAGTGTTGGACCTCAGAACATTGTGATTCATCTTTGTATTAGAGTATGGGCTGATATAAATGTTGAATTTTCCATGTTTTCCATCTCCAGATATTCCAGTCATGATGCATATCTATGCCAGAGACACAATCCACCTTAATAATAATAACAACAACTTTATTCTTATATCCCATCACCATCTCCCCGAAGAGGCCCAGGGTGATTGACAGAAGGCACAAAGTGTAAAAACAAACATAAAAGTGAACACAATATAAAATACAATAAAATAAGATATATAAAAACATCAATTCAGATGCAATCAAGCTGCAATCCTCTAACCGTGGTGGTAAATTACTGGCACCATGGCCTGGGTGTAAACATAGGAATAAAATCAGTGCCAGATGTAGTAATGGAGTGAGGGCATGGGATAAAGTGCAGAATGTGTGACTACTATGTAGGATAACTGAGGTCTAAATCAGGGGTCCTCAAACTAAGGCCCAGGGGCCGGATGCGGCCCTTCAAGGTCATTTACCCGGCCCTCGCTCAGGGTCAACCTAAGTCTGAAACGACTTGAAAGCACACAACAATCACAACAACAATCCTATCTCATCAGCCAAAAGCAAGCCCACACTTCCCATTAAAATACTAATAGTTTATATTTGTTAAAATTGTTCTTCGTTTTAATTATTGTATTGTTTTAAAGTGTTTATTGCACTACAAATAAGATATGTGCAGTGCGCAATTCATTCATTTTTTTTCAAATTATACTCTGGCCCTCCAACAGTTTGAGGGACTGTGACTTGGCCCTCTGTTTAAAAAGTTTGAGGACCCCTGGTCTAAATATTCTCAAAGGCTTGATTGAAGAGCCACATCTTCAAGTCCCTATGAAAGGAGGACAGTGTGGGGGCCTTTCTAATCTCCCTGGGGAGGGAGTTCCAAAACCGTAATGATTGTTTGCTCTCTGCAGCGAATCTTGAGGACTGCAGTGCTCTGGTGGTGGAAATGTTATCACTAGTTGAAAGGTTTCTTTGGAAATAATGTTGATTATTTTACTCATGTGTAAGCTGATTTGTAAAATCAGGACTCCCAAAGTCTAATTCTTCCTTCTACAAATGTATCGGTAGTTGTGTTGATTGCAATACAAACTGTGGTAATACCAAGCAAAAAAATGCAGGCTTGCAAGACTACAAATCCAAAAAGTTGCCATTTTACAAAGCTGGCTATCAAATTCGGCCCGTTGGACAGTACCCTGAAAGTCCTAAGGTTTCTGAAAACAAACTCCTCAAAAGCAATAGCAGAAGTAGAATTTTACATCTTATGGGAGTTAAATCTAAAGGAGCAGTTACTAGGCAAATAATAGATATTTCCCCACTTATCAAGGAAGATATATCCTTCTGTGTAGGTAATATTTTCTTGTTTACTTTCTGCATGTGTTTTCCAACATTACCTGTTTATATATTTATATAGCATGTATATCATTAATTGTTATATCTAAAATGCATCCCAAGCCCCAGGGTAAGAAATAATCTGCATTATTTATTACATGCTTAAATTTGTTTAGGTACTATCTGAAATGTACCTCCTCATATATACACAAACATATTCATACATGCATGCATGCAGAATCTTGCAAGTTCTGCTTGCAGTTTCCCTAAAAGTCTTTGACTTTGCTTTATGCCTTGTGTGGCACTGGCTTTCCAGGAAATAGTTCTTGGCATATTGAGAGAAATGATAAAATTCAGCTCTTGTTTACTGACTCTCTTAGTCAGTTGAGGTCACCAACTGCTGTTGCCATTCTCAAGAGTTCCGAATTATAGGACGTAGAACCTCATCCCATTTGGAACAGAAAGTGTTGTGTGTGTGTGTGTGTGTGTGGGGGGGGGGGTTCATATTCTTACCATAGTGTTTTGTGTCTTTTCAGTTTAAAGAAAAAAGGATAATTTATTCAATCGCCATCACATGTGAAACCATTTCTAGACAAATCCTCCACTTACTGAACTATCTCACGGGGAAGTGTCATCTCTACCCATACCGCTTTCTTCTTTTTTTATTAAAAAAGGGGGAAACTGCTATTGCAGAAGTCCTAAATCATGAGGTACTGGAAAGATGTTAGTGCTTCGAGGACTTTAAAAAAATATTACCTCTGTTATTTCCAATAATAATTTTAAATAAAAAGTGAAAAAAGCAGCAGTAAATTGAGAAACCCCAGGTCTACAAAATTGGAAAATATAGCTACAGTGAAGTGTGCGTGTGTATATAAATAAATAACTGTGCATTTTCTGAAAAAAATAAAATAAAATTACTGGTAAAGTTGCATGAAAGACAATTTACGGCAACAAAAGCAGCATCGAGGCTCACTTCAAGACCACTCAGAAGAACACCCACACTTTCACATCACTAAAATGACACCCAAAATGGTGAAATTCGACAATTCCCATCCCCACGTTAAAATAAGCACCATTTGTTGATTCTACGCAAATGGAGCTCTGGAGTCAATTGCTCCCTGACTCCAAAGACCTTAGTTTCTACACACT